GACTAGGCTTCAAAGTCATGTTGACCACGTGCAAGGCAAGTGTCCTACCCACTGTACTACCACTTCAGTTTCTGCGTTTCATTTTTAACTCACCTATAACTGCATGAATTGAGGAAAGAAATTAGGGAAGTAATTCTGCTTTTTAAAATTTTTGGAGTAAAAAGGGGCATGGAAAGTTATCTGAACTGACACTGCATCACTGGAACTTAAGATTTTCATAAATTCACTAATGGTTTCTCTCTGAATGCTAAAGGCTAACCACAGTCATTTAAAATACTTTCTCTAATTTCCTGTAATTTCTCAGTTTCGCTTCCTATATTTAAGTTATTATAGACATTCGACAACAACCTTCCCAAGAAACTGGTAGTAGGTATTCTTTCTCCTTAATTTTTCTGCATTTAATGTTCTCTTTCTTTAATCATTCCTCGTGGGAAAGTTCCAAATCATTCGCTATTGCAGAATTCTCTGCTGAATAAGCTCAAGTCAGAGTCCATTGGTTTTTATTATCATTATTAAACAGTTGTTGCTGATCAAGAATATGCTACATTCAAATAAATTATCTGCTTTAATTTTTTTCCTTTCCGAGGGATTTTTTTGCTTCCATCTATTGAGGGAAGTTCAGAAAGTTTATTGCATTTCCTCAAAACCACATGAGTAACAAATTGCTAAGTCCATTTCACATCCTAGTCTGGTGGCTTTGAAGCATGTATATGGGATGGTTGGGATGAGTCCTCCCCAGCTCAGGACACAGGGACATTGACCACCTGCAGTAAACCAAGAGCTACACTTTCCATTAAAATGGAAACACAAACACAATAACACAACACTTCTGACAGACTGTACTGCTGGTTTGTGTTTTTCATCAATCAAAACCCAAAGATGAGCTCTGCATTAACTGTGATGAGATCTGATCATCTCCCTTCTCCAAAACACATTTGTATCTTGCAGTTGATTCTGAAAAATAGAGAAAAATAGTATCTCTGTTCCTGTAATGTGTTATCCTACCTCTCTGCTTCACAGTTCACACCATCTACTTAACGAAAAACCTAGATTTGAACACACATTCTACAGTCACTTCTGAAAATCTTTACTGCTCTATACAGATATAATAGACAGATAGAGATGCTCATATCTAGCACACCTGAACTTGCACAGAACTATCATGCACTATTCCTCAGTGTTGAAAGTACTTCATTGATGAAGCGTTGGCTCAATGGACTGAGCATGAGCTTTTATACACTGAAGGCCCTGGTTTGATCCTCAGCACCACATGGTCCCCTGAGCATTGCTTCAAGACTTCAGAGCATTGAGCCAGGAGTAGATAATAAGCAACACCAGATACAGCCTGAAAGCAAACAAGTTGCTCACAAGTTGGTATTTGCGTATGTGTGTGTAGGTGCCTTCTTCCAAAACTCTGATAAATTCAGTTTAGGAGAACAAAGACTCCAGCTATAATCTATAAGCAAGAGGTATCTGAATGTGGTCCTTTAACTAGCATCTCACCTCCAGGGCAATCTCAGGAGGAGGGGAGGCCAAGGTCCCGCCTAACCAAAGCCCCCGCTGCTGCATTCAGACTCCAACAGCCACCACCACGTCTCTAGCCAGACTCCAAACTCTACCAATATCCCAGTAGGAGAACTCCAGTTCGGATGAGAATGTAATGGAGAATCCAACTAATCTTGACTAACAAACACATTAATATAGAAAGCTTTAACTTGCAACAACAGCTTTAACTTGCAACAACCCTCAAAGAAGGACTTAATGTCCCCATGGTGAGATATAACAATTTCCAAAAACTTTATTTTACTTAAGTATATTTTAATAATTCTATTATCCATTTAGTGATAATAAGCAATATAAAATAAGTTATTGTGGGCCTGCCTACTATGGGGGCAGGTGTGAGGGGCGGTTGGGAAAATGGAGACAGTGGTGTAGGGAAGGTGACAGCGAGAGTGGGGCTGACTGGTATTGGAATATTGAATACTTGTAACAAATCATCAGGAACAACTTTGCAAACCATGCTGTTTAAATAAAGCGGGGGGAAAACGAAAAACAAATAAATAAACTAGAATCTTATTGCTAGCTTGAAAGACAAACCTTATTCACAGTCCCATTTTTCCTTTTGTTTGTTTTCTTTGATTCTGGAATCAAACCCAGCAAACCTTGGGGACAGTTCCTGCCTCAGTGATCCGGGATCACTCCCAGGGATGCTTTAGGGACCATGCAGTCCTCCTGCATACAAAGCATGTGCCACAGTCCTTGTGATTTCTTCTGGGCTCCTATTGCTGGCTTTCCTTTGTTTTTGAAAGGGGATGCAATTATTGTTGTGGGTGGAGAGCTAGGGTCAGAGATTGAATTCAGGGTCTCATACAAGGCAGGAACAACTCTCTGCCACCTTCCCAACTGCAACCTTTTATTTTGTTCTTGTCTAACCTGTCAGTACAAATCCATTTTACTTTGCCAAGGTCAATTATTTCAATGAAGATGTCACAGTGAACACATTTTTTTCCTACTATTAATGCAGAAAATATGTATTCTGCTGACAAAGGTTTTTGTTTCCCAGGAAAAAAATGTACTCAGTTATTTTTTATCCCCTTAAGGCTATACTCTCTAGTACTCAAGGATTACTCCCAGTCCTGTACGCAAAAGTTCACTCCAGAAGGTGATCATGGTTGGAGAACCATACAGTACTGGGATCAAACCTAGGCTCTCACATGCAGAGCACTGAGTCTTCTTTCTGGCCCAGAAGTTACTGGTATGATTCTGTCAAATGTGCAATACTGCTGTGCATTCAACTGTTTGTAGTCATGATGAAAGCAACAGTGAATTGTAGTGTGGGTTAATTACAAAATAGATATTCTGGACTTAAGCACACACAATAGGAGACAGAGAGATCAACAGATTGCACACACATGCTTTGACTGATGAAGGGCCTAGTTCCACTTTTGAAACCTCATGGTTCCTTAAGTATCACCAGGTATGCACCCCAAGCATCTGAGAGTAGCCCCCAAGTATTACAAGGAATGCCCCTCAAAACCAAAACACAGATTTATGGTGTGTCTGAATCATAGGGTATAAATTCAGTAAAATAATCAACTCTATATGTCCTTCAGTGGGTCCCAAGGAATTTTTTTCTCCCTATGTGAAACACTTTATATTCTTCTAGAGACTTCTTTAGGCAACTGGCAATTAAGTCTATTTCTTCCATCATATAAACATCATCAATAGACTCCTAAAACCTAAGGGGGAATATTTTTTATTCACATATAAAATTAAAAAATTTCCTGTGAAGTAGACCCACACTGTCAAATTATCTTTTGAAAGTTATGAAAGCCTTTGAAACTCCACAGTAAAATTGCAGCAGGGAAATATTATAGGAAACCCCCACTTTTCAGAATAAACATCAAAATCAATAATTAAGTTCTGAGTTATAAAATTAGCCAAAATCAAAGCAAAAAAACTCAAGAACTAGGTATTGCATGCAAACCTAGGTAAATCCCTGGAAGACTGAATTTACTGCCTGAAGCAATCCATCTATATTTGTCAAATTATAGGATGGCAAATCATCTAGAAATTAGTATATGACAGACTGAATCTTAGATCAACATTCATCCTTTTTCCATCTCTAAAAACATAAACACATCCTGTCTTTAACATTATTAACAACATGAAGTGGAGGTGAATCTTTTATTCGAAGAAAGAAAAATTTAGAAAAAGCCAAGCACTGGGCGAATTATGCAAATTTTAATAGAAATGGTATGAGACAAAGATGGCTAAGATGAATGAGCTCAGAAAATGGAAAATGAAGACTGGCTTGATAATAACCCAAGGAAAAGGGTCCAGTCATTGAGAAGACGCAGATATACACTGTCTGTGGTGCCCAGGAGAGAATCTCAGCAGGTCAATCAGTTTAGCATGCAGGAGGAGGAGCTGAGCACGCTAAATCAGTTTAGCAGCTGAAGGAGGATGGCTGAGGTTCTAGTAGGAAAGGGAAAGAACTGGAGAAATGGGCTCTTGGATGAAACTGTTCAAGCTGAAATTAAATCAGGCTACTACTCTGCTAGCAGAACAAGTTGCTCCTTCCCCACTACAGGGAGCAGATGCCCTGGTGTGCTCGCCTGCTCTGAGGGTCTATGTTCATGCAGGCATGTATTTCTATGGAGCACAAAGAACACTCACAACCCTTTACCCACAAGTTGTATTGTTCTCTGATGTTAAGGATCTGTGACAAAAATTATTTGCCTGTTCCTTCTTAAGAGGAATTTCAGTTTTTTTTTACAAAGCAAAGAGTAATATGTCCTTATCTTTAGCCAGAAAAGAAGTTACAACAGTTCACATTATTTCACCACTTTAGGAAAGAAAGCTATCCAGTTTCTGCCAATGAAAATCTGGCCATTAATTATTCAGATAAAAAAATAAAATTAATTAAATGATAGTTTATGGGATATTATGGCGAATTTGATTTTTAGAGTGTTCTTTTTCTCTATTATGAAAAGTGTAGGAGATATTTTCAGTTTGTGATTCAATTTAAAAAAATCAGGAGCGATAGCACAGCAGTAAGGCGTTTGCCTTGCACGCAGCCAACATGGCCGACTCGAGTTCGAATCCTCTGCCCCTCTTGGAGAGCCCGGCAAGCTACAGAGTGTATCTTGCCCGCACGGCAGAGCCTGGCAAGCTACCCGTGACGTATTCAATATGCCAATAACAGTAACAACAAGTCTCACGATGGAGACGTTACTGGGCCCGCTCGAGCAAATCGATGAACAACGGGAGGACCGGGACCATGACCGTGACTCCTTTGTAACATTTCAGGAACTTAAACTTTAAGTATTTTTAGTTACCTGACACCTTATTAGAAACTATGAGAAAATCTTTAGGACCTGGGTTTGAGTAATTTTTCCAGAACTCTGAAAAAATAAAGAGGTATTATGTACATTTTATAGCCACATCCCTCAGATCTCAATATCAGGGATTAAAAAAATGTTTTAACATATACTCACCTCCACATCACAGGTATATTCTGAACCGTCCAAAAGTATCACTTTGCACTGCATGCTTTTCGGTTTTTTGACAATCTTTAATGGAGAGCGAGATAGTTTACTGCTAGATGATTTCTGAGAAAGTTTATCGTCTTCCAATTGCTGATACTCGAGCTGTTTTGCAACTCCAGCAGCAAACTCCCGCTCCTTGTCAGTGACCTGTGAAGAGCAAATAATGAAAAGTTTTCCCTGCAAGACAGGAAATAAATATTGCATTGCTCAGGCAATAACAGATCACTTTAGAAACAGGCTTTTCTATTTCCTAGAGGATAAGAGGTAATCTGAATTAGGAGAGCAAGAATGGAGACATATGTGTATGTTGACATAAGTGTATGTGGAAATTTATAATGCTAATAGTTTTGATTAAATTACTTTGCCACAGAAATGTATAGACAGGATGTTGGTGTTCTGTTAGTTTGATTTGAGGATTTCACTTAGAAGAGTGGAGTTAGCAAATGCCATCAAGATTTCATTAGGCAAAGAAGCATACTAATGAAGTGACTTTCTTTTTTTAAAAAGACACAAAATAGATCTTTATAGTTAACCGTTTAGATGCGGGGGGCAGGCAATGGAATGTGGTAGAAAGACATGGTGGTAGTTAAGGATGGGTAACAGCGATTTTTTGAAGCATGAAACTACACCCCTAAGCTAAGCAGTCATATAAACTAACATTACCTCAATAATAAGAGAAAAAATCATATGGTTTTTACCTTATGTACATTTTTTTCCATTCATTGAATCCATCTATAGGATCCATATCTACCACATACATGTGTGCATTGTAAACTTTAGGGCACAGAGAGCTTCAAGTCCAAATTTCCTCAGTAATTTTACAAATATTAAACTATTTGATGTTGTTCTGAATCAATGAAGCAAGCAACACTGAAATTCATAGAGTAATCTCCCTAAGTCTGTCTCCTTTCACCGTAATGAGCCAGTGTAAGAAACAGATATAATCTGTCAAAAAGCTTTAATCACCTTTAAAATCACAAATCAAGTCCAGACTACATTCAAAACTGCAGAGGATGTCCTATGGCATGATAAAACTGTCTCATGAATCAATCCCTTTAAATTTTTTTTTCTGAGAACTCCTCCCTCACTACTCTTTTAATATTCTTTTTTTAGCTATTAAATGACCACCAACTTTACTACTGCCAATTCTCATGGTCTAGACTAACAGCTTTACTGCAAATATACAGAGACAGTTCAAAGAAAAGTAGGTTCTAAAATCCAGTTCCCTTTGTTTTTTGTTGTTTTTCGTTTTTTTTGTGGTCATACCCGGCGACGCACAGGGGTTACTTCTGGCTCATGCACTCAGAAATTACTCTTGGCGGTGCTCGGGGGACCATATGGGATGCTGGGAAATGAACCCGGGTTGGCCGCCTGCAAGGCAAATGCCCTACCCGCAGTGCTATCGCTCCAGTTCCCCAGTTCACTTCTTGAATTAGCATATATATCCTCTCTCATGAACACACAATCATTCTTGCATCTAAAAATGCATAGGTTTGAGAATATAGCACTATTGGTTTTTTTTCAAATTTTCTTTTTTTTAACCTTTACAGAGCCCAGCCAAGGTCAGACCTGAACACCTGAAGAACCTGCCGTCAGTACTCATCAATACACTGGCTCGGCTCTTCACTCGCTACCTGTCTGAATGCAAGGTTCCATCTCAATGGAAAACCAGCAGGACCGTACTACTGTTCAAGAAGGGAGACATCCATGACATTGGCAACTATCGCCCGATCTGCCTATTGTCTGTCATCTACAAGTTGTTCACTCGAGTCATCCTGAATAGGATTGGCAGAACACTAGATGAAGGACAACCATGTGAGCAAGCAGGGTTCCGCAAAGGATTCAGCACCATCGACCATATCCACACGATAACCAAACTCATTGAGGTTTCTCGGGAGTTCAAGATGCCGCTCTGCTTAACGTTCATTGATTTAAAGAAGGCCTTTGATTCTGTTGAGACGGAAGCGGTCATTGAAGCCCTAGCCAATCAGGGCATTCAAGCCCAATACATCAGGATCCTCCGTGAGCTGTATTGCGGATTCACTACCAGGATCTCACCATTCTACAAAGAAGTGATCATTGATGTCAAGAGAGGGGTGCGGCAGGGTGATACCATTTCACCGAAACTCTTCAGTGCCACCCTCGAGGACATCATGCGACGACTGGAATGGGAAGGAATGGGAGTGAAGATAGATGGTCGGCAACTACACCACCTCCGCTTTGCTGATGACATTGTTTTAATAACACCAAACATCAGCCAAGCGGCACAAATGCTGGCCGACTTTGACCGTGAGTGTGGAAAGGTAGGACTACAGCTGAATCTTACGAAGACAATGTTTATGAGAAACAGCCTTGTTCCTGACGCCCCATTCGCTCTCAATGGAACGACCATCTCCGAATGCAACAGCTATGTGTACCTAGGTCGAGAGGTCAACATGACAAATGACCTGGCACCCGAGCTGCGCAGGAGGAAGAGAGCGGCTTGGAACGCCTTCAAGAACGTCGAAGAAATAGCTAAGAGGACGAAGAACCTCCGGCTCCGGGCACATCTCTTTGATTCCACTGTTCTTCCTGCATTAACATATGCCTCAGAGACCTGGGCCCTACGCAAACAAGATGAGAACGCCATTCAGGTCTCCCAAAGAAGAATAGAAAGAGCTATGCTTGGAATATCACGTTTCACTCAAATGAGAGAACGAATCCGGAGTTCTGACATCCGTCGACGATCAAGGATCAGGGACGCTGTCTCATTTGCCAAGGTGTCGAAAATCAGATGGGCTGGTCACGTAATGAGATTTAAAGACGACCGTTGGACTAGAGCTGTTACTGATTGGATTCCACGGGATGTCAAGAGACCGCGTGGCCGCCCACCTACCAGATGGTCAGACTTCTTTGTCAAGGTCATGAACGATCGGTTTGAGGCCCTCCATGTTCCCGGAGCGAAGAGATGCCATTGGGCTACACTAGCACGCGACAGGGACAAATGGAGACGTTACTGGCGCCCGCTCGAGCAAATCGACGACTAACGGGAAGTTAAGTTAAGTGATTAAGTGACAGAGCCCAGCAAGCTACCGAGAGTATCTCGCCCGCACAACAGAGCCTGGCAAGCTACCCATGACGTACTCGATATGCCAAACACAGTAACCACAAAGTCTCCAATGGAGACATTACTGGGCCCGCTTGAGCAAATCAATGAACAACGGGAGGACCATGACTGTGACAATCACCAAGTTATTTTGGGCATATTTGTTTTGAATTTTAGGTATTTTTTCCTTTAAATAGCTTTTGCATCTGTTTTCTACCCAGAAAATTACTAGTTTGGGAGTCAGAGAGACAGTATCAGAGAAACAGTAGACTTGACTTGCATGTGGCTAATCCTCGTTTGATACCCATACCCAGCACTGCATATGGTCCTGAGTATCACCAAGAGTGATCTGAGCGCAAAGCCAGGGATAAGCCTGGAGCACTGACAGGTGTGATTCACTCCTCCACCCCAAACATTACTAATATAGCCCTTTCCACTCTTTCCTTTTCCAGGAATTCAAGACAAAGTTTTGAGACATCCTTAAGAATAAATTAACTTATTTGCTGTGCAAAGAAACCAAGGGGAAAAATGAACAACCAACTTCAAAGGCCTAAATAGGTAAGAAGGCAAATCTCAGTTAAAACAAAGTAAAACAAAAGCTTTTCAAGCAATTTGATCTGACTCTTTTGACTACAAGTCTTTCCACACCAAGGCATTAAAGTGGTCAGTGGGAAAAAGTCAAAAAGTGTTATGATTTGGGTATTTTTTGAAGTTTTTGAAGTTTATCTTAGAATTTTATACCAATAATCATAATTTTATTTACATTTATTAAATATTTGAAACTTACAGAAAACTTTTGCACTTTTAATTTTTATTTCAGCATCTGCAATGTCAAAAAAGCTGTATTTTAATAAAATTAATTGCTCTCTGGAATCAACTTTTCATATCTATTAGGAATTATGAAAGTTTTATTTTTCCTCTACAAAAATGAAAGCATCTGGAATGAGAATGAGCTTTTTGGGTGAAATTGTATGTCCACTGCAGAGGCATCTTAAACAACCATCAATTAAATGAAGGCCTGATTACTGAACACGTAAAGCACCAAGTCGTCACTGAAGTTTTTACATAAATTTTGAAAAAACAATCTTAATACTACAAGGGCACTCCAAGTATACTTCAAATAAAATGTCAATTATAGTTGTATAGCATACTACAATTGAAAAAAATAGGTGTAACCATACTACAATTTAAAATAAAAGCTGTCAACATTTTAGCAAAGCCTCCACTTCATAATCCTCACAATAGCTGTGACAGGTAGATTTTTTTTTTTTTTTGCTTTCTGGGACACACCCAGTGATGCACAGGGGTTACTCCTGGCTCTGCACTCAGGAGTTACTCCTGGCGGTGCTCAGAGGACCATATGGGATGCTGGGAATCGAACCTGGGTTGACCACATGCAAGGCAAATGCCCTACCCGCTGTGCTATCTCTCCAGTCCAAGAGGTAGATATTTTTATCCTCACTTGCATATAATAGGAAATAAGTACAAGGAACATTTTTGTTTGTTTGTTTTTTGGCCACAACCAGCAGTGCTGAAGGCTATTCATGACTCTGGGCTCAGGGATGACTCATGTTGAGTTCGGAGGACCATATGGGGTTCTGGCGGCAGCATGCAAGGCAAGTGCCTACCCTGTAGTGCCTACCCTACAGCTGTACTGTCCCTCTAACCCTGAAATCTTAAGAAAATTACTCGAGGTCACAAGACTAGTAAACTGGAATTCAATGTTTCAATCATCACTAAATATCAAAATAAACTACTTTACTTTATCTCTAAACATGAACGAACTACTGGTATGAATCAAAGAACTTTAGGGAGGAAGAAAGCTAGAAAATATATTTTCTGATCTCTTCATGTTGTGAGCAGAAGCTGAGGACGAGAGGGCTTAAAAAACTCTGTGGCTACTAAAATAATAAGGGAAAGGGAGAGAACTTAGTTGCTGGTCTTCTTACCCTCTGATAGCAGAGTATCACTTTGCAAGTTCAGTTTCAAATATCTCACTTCTTTAGATGACAAAAAAAAGTACTTAATCATCTGGGTATAGAAAACCTGCCCTTTCTCTGATCATCTCCACTCTCATGTCTATTTCACTTTAGATTCAGGAGAAAATAATGGAAGAAAATTCAATCTAGTAACTTTTAATTTCTGAAAATTTAAAAACAAAGCACTGCCACCATCCTACTTTCACATAGAAGGTAAGGTAAAGAAAAGCGATGGCAACTGTTCCTTAGGTTTTATTAACAGGCTGGAGGATGATTGATCTCCATCTCAAAACATCTTCAGTCAGACAGTAGTTTGACAAAGTATAATGATGAATCTTTTTCCTATTTCTATTCTAAAAACAAAATTTAAGGGTGTAGTTCAGTGGTAAAAGTGTGGGGTTCACATGTTGTGAGCCCAGAGGAAGTTTCAATTCTTCTCACCAAAAAAAAATAAAATATAAACAGAACTTAAGTGCCATGGGAAAGATACACTAATCAGGGAGTTTAATGTGAAGAAGGAGTTTTATGTGGCAATGTTTTGCCTTCCAAAGAATTTCACTAATATGCTGATTTTATCTTTCTTCCCTCAACATCACTTATAATTACTATTCAGATCTATGAGAACAGTGTTCTGTAGAACTCTCAGATCTCCTGACCACCTAATGAGATGATTCTCTCAACTGCGGTTGATTCCAAGTTTGAAGTTTCAAACCAAAGAAATTTAAACATAAATTTAAGGTCCAGTTATAAACCATGTGTATTTTTCTGCATGAAAAATACTGAGGAATAAATGACATGGGGTCATCTAAACAAGTCTCATTAATAAAAACTGAAAATATCTTTTGTACATAGGAGAGGGAAACAACCCAACACAGAGAAACCCTTGGGGAAATTTATTATATATTTATATGTGTAGATTATATATGTATACATATATACAATACACACACATATTTTTAAATCAAAATAATCTCTAACCATCAGGCCCAAACCAGAAACAAAATTAGTCTCAGTGTGGTGTCTATCTTTCTTATCAACTGAGATAAAATAAACTGCAATCCAGATTTCAGTATAGGTTTAAGTGCTTTAATCAAATGAAGGAGTTTCCACGCAAGGTTGTGGAATGTCATTCACTAAATGCCTTAAAATAGCATAAATTTTCATCTGCTAGTAACCCTAAGGGAAAAAGCAGATGACCCCTGTAGTTCCCAATAGTGCTAAGAGATCAGAGTTGGGCCAGATCCTGGAAGCTCAGTAAACATTCCTTAATTGGTTTTCTGGGTGATGCTTGCAAGTGCAGGGAAGCAGAGTGGGGGAAGCACGAGCTCACCTCCTTCCTCACAGGGGTGCTGTGTGCAGCAGCTGCGGCCTCGAACTGTTCCAAGGCCTGCCGCTGCTCCTCCCCGCTCAGCTCCGGCCCGGGGTTCGGCTGTGCCCCCTCACGCCCCTGAGCACCCGCAGCCTCCTGGGGCTCAGCGTCCTGATCTTGCTTGGATTCAGAGTCTGATCCTGATTCAGTCGTCATGGTTGATTGTTCTGCAAGCAGAAAAGAAAAGGCCCAATTACACGTGCAATAGTCTTTCCTGGGCAAAGCAAATAAAGAAAATTAAAAACACGCAAATGTGAAAGGTGGAAGAGAAAGAAGCATAAAAAGAAAGATGGGGAGTCACTAACACAATCCTGGTATATACACCTAACAGACGGCTTGTCCAATTTATGGTCAAGATGGGCACTCAAAAGACTTCACAATTAGCATCAAACTAGAAGCAAACACTGATTTGTAAAGATTAAAGGTCTTATTCAAGCCTGATTTTTGCCACCTATAACTACAAAATGACATTAATATCATAGCAATTATGTAGTTTAGATACATTTAATTTCAGAAAACATCATTTATTGAATCAGCTGAATATATATTTTAATTTCTGGGTAGGTTGATCTAACAATGGAAATTATATTCTCTTTCCATTGTTTGCTTTCATGGGGACCCCTGATCAACTTCCCACAATTCCCGGATCTATGCATTCTCCATGAGCAAATGTCTTTCCACATTGATTTCCAGAACGCTATTATTTGCTTTGAACTTAACAAGCACAACTACCACAGAGGCTTCTTCAGAGATATAATGTCTATCTGCTACTAGACAAGAGGAGCCACGCTGAAGGGACGCAGCCAGGCCATCACCTCTCCTGCCCTCAAAGTTAATTCTCATATGCTTGTCCCTGACTTCCTTTCATTTCCCTGGATTGCTTGTCTCACTGCAAAAAAAAATAATCAATAGATCTTAATATAAAATATTACTAAAAATATAAAGCATATCGGGCTGGAGAGACAGAATAGAGATTAAGGTGCTTGCCTGGCATGAAGCTGACCCCCTGTTCTATCCCAGCACCACATATGGTTCCCTAAGCACAGAACCAAGAATAAGCCCTAGGGACCGACAGGTGTAGCCCAACCAACTCCCCCAAATAAAGTAGAACTACTATTTTTCTAATAGTTTTCTAGTTAAGACACATACTTTGTACCTCAGTTTTCACACCCACCAAGTGATAACTTAAAATTATCTATATCTAGAGAACTTTCCTCCTGCTAATTGATAAACCTCTTTAAACAGGTTTTTCCCCTAAGCATCACAGAGCTGCTAATGGTTACCATATATGTGGCAAATATTGCAGACAAAAATATCACGAGCAAAAGGCTAATGTGGCACTTCAAGCAAATGATATACTCATTAGTATAATATTAAATTATGAAAAATAAAACTCCACAGTAGAGCCACCATTCATTCCTATTTTCACCATACACATTGGAATTAACATTGAGAAAAATCAATTTCAGGAACTAAAGACCATATCGGTATTTGAAATTTTTTTTACATTCACGATTTTTTCTTTGGTTAAATAAAAGACCTATCAACTTGGCATGTGCTCAGCTGCCCAAAGTATGTGTAAACAGCAAGTTCAAACACAAAGAAAGATCATAATCCAAAAAAAAGGGAAGAGATTTTCTTCTCTCATATTATCACATTATATATTTTCAACCAAATCTTGAAGGTAAATGTTATATTCTCTTTTGTATGCTTTCTATTGGAAAATGGTGAGTCTACAAGAAAACGCAGCGGAGGAAGATGAAAGGTGGAGGTATTGTAAACTTGAGCCTACAATCAAATACTACCTTTCAGAAAGAGGAGGATAAACCTTAATAATTTACCTCATAACATGGAGTACCAAACGGAAGACCAACTAGTTGCTCAGAAACAAGTAAATATGTTGAAAGCTTCTATCCTAATCCTCCAAAACCTCAAAGTCAGTGATAGATAGTGACTCCCCAGACACATTTCTCCATCTTTCTTTTAGTTTCCAAACTTTCCATTTTAGTTGGTATTTTCCCTTCAGCCAGCCAGAGAGCACAGTGAGCTGTGGCCGTGTCCTTAAGTGTGGACTAACAAGGTGACAGATATATAACTACACAGTGTGTTCATCTTCATAAAGCCAAAGCAATTTCCCCTTGTTTTCCTTCTCCTTTTTGGAAAGAATGACAAAAATGGCTGTGGTAGACCCAATCATGGAGCCACCCCGGCTGCCTGAGTCCTGGAGTGTCCTCCTGGACACAGTCCACCTGCCATGAGTCAGAAATCAATTTCTGTCTTGTTTGAACCCCAGGACAAGCCTATACCCCATCTAATATACATCTGACAGATTCATTCTGTCCAAATGGGATCACAGTCTATGGTTCCCACAGAAAAGCAGCCTCTTCTTGACCTCACATCCTCCATCAGCTGCTACCACATTTATTTCCTTTCTGTTCTTAAGTTGCTAGAGAGTTTTTTATGGACTCTGACTGGCTCTTCTCATCCTCCTTCTCTGTACCCACTCTAGTCTGACTCCACTACATGCATATAGAATAAATGAAAATCTCTGCTGCTTTGGCTACCTTCAATAACATAAAATGTTCATTCTTGTTGATATAAAGTAATCAAGGCTGAGAATGCAAGGCTTTTAATTTCTAGGATCTCACTAAAATCAATATTTTATTTCAAATATCTGAAAAGGCATAAATTCATATTGTACAGACAAACAGTATTCATGTAGAGTGGCAAACTCATTCTCAAAATATTTTTATTAGTCATCTTTCATAACCATGCCAATATAAGGAAAGCAATTGATTTTTAAATGACAAAATAATACAAACCTAGATACACTACTTGTGAATTTAATTTGCTATTTTAAGAATTTTATAGTATATCCTACCACCTTTGTAATCAAATGTCAAAACATTTTTAATACAAAATTTATACTATGTTTTCTCATTATAGTCATACTAATTTTGCTTCTCCATGCTCTTTTGGATAATTCTTGTCACTAAAAATTACATACTTCCTTTTCCCACTCACTGAAGATTATGATATTCCAACACTACCTTCTCTTCCAGTATATACACATTGGACTAATTATAACTGTTGGCTATTTGGGTTACAGAAAATAAGCATCATCGCTAGAAATCTCAAAAAGACATGATACAAAATACTTATGCTTAGTTTTGACTTAAACTATGCCTTTCCTTCTATATACCATTTATCATATTATGCTTGGTGTGCCTAGAAAGATGCAGATTCCTAGAAATTACAAATTCAGAAAGCTGGAAAAGAACCTTAAGAATGCTTGGTTAAGTGATAAGAAGAGTTCTTTATCTTTGCAACAAGCATAAACTGTATTTCATTATGTCTTTCTCAAGGCAATATTAAAAGACTACCAAAAGAAAACCTTTAAAGGAGGTATTCTGGGGCTGAAGCAATAGCACAGCAGGTAGGGCGTTTGCCTTGCACGCGGTCGACCTGGGTTCAATTCCCAGGATTTCATATGGTCCCCTAAGCATCGCCAGGAGTAATTCCTGGGTGTAGAGCCAGGAGTAACACATGTGCATCACCAGGTGTGACCCAAAAAGCAAAATAAATAAATAAATAAATAAATAAAGGAGGTATTCTGATGATATACAAGAAATCATAGTCAGAATTCCCAATCCATTTTGCCTATTAAAAAAATTCTTATTGCCATGCATTTAAGCCTTTGTTATTTTTCTGGCATAAATTATTACATTAGAACACACAAATCTAAGACAGTGCAGGAAAAGGCTTAAATCTGCTATCTAACATATAAAATAGGAACCCTATAGAATAACAAAGCATTCAGAAAACAAAAACCCCTTCATAACATTTATCTTCTTACAGAAAAGCAGGACTACATGGACAGTTTTTTAAACAAGTTTTTGCTTTCCCTTATTATTTCAAATATAAATTTATAAAAGGAGACTCTAGTAAACTATCTATACACTTAGCCTAAATATTCATGACTACTGCATACTATCCATCAATCACTAAAAACCCAGAAACTTTAAGCAAATGAAAACAATACTCTTCCCTGACTTGTTTACTCAATTGTGCTTATCGGCATTTTAAATGGAGTGAGGCAGAAGCCCTAGTATCCAAATTGGAAAAACAAAAACAAAAACAAAACAAAACAAAACACGAGGGCCCAGAAGCTAGCACGGTGATTAGCTCTGCCTTGCATGAACCTGAACCTGGTTTAATCGTCAGCTCCTCATTGCTGAGTGCAGTCCACATGGCCCTCCAGCACTGCTGGGTGTAGCCCTGGTGGTATCCTCCACACTCCTCTCCCCACTAAAATTTTTTAAAAAATAAAAAAATTTAAAAAATCAAGTCACCCTTCTTTGGGTTTTATTTCATTTCATATTCAGAAATGTGCATATCCCCATCCCTCAGTGTGTTCCTACTTCTCTGACTTCTTGAGAGAATTTTCTTCCAATGCTGCCAACACATCACTACCAGTCACAAGAATACTTCTCAAAATTCTAGAAGCCTTTTCTAATATTATCAATGACTTCTCCTCCCCTAAGTCAATAAAAACTATTTTCATCCCTTCTCACCTCTGAGTACTGTAATTTTGACCCTCCCTTCTACCTTTCTTTGATTACTCTCATTTCTGTTTGCCTCTATTTCTCACATATTCTTAAACATTGCAGTTCCTCAGGAACCAGTCTGTCTTTTGAAGACATCTTTTTTGGAGAGCTCCTCTACTTCCTTTCAAATATACCAACACCACAAAATACAGGTCTCTCAATTTGTCACCCTCTGCAATTCAGATCCATATTTACAGTTAAACTAAACCTCTTGGGACCAAGATTTCTGTCAAACTCTTAATCCCATCTTCTCAGGCCCCAGTCTGCAATAATTCCATTCCTTAAACTGGCCTCTAGCTATTCACTTTCACTTTTCGAACTGTGCTTTGAGAAAGAAGGTGAGAAACTTCTTGGTAGACTTACCAGTCAGGAAAATGTAGAACAGCATAAAAAATCACCTGCATTTGCTTGTACTATGGTAGTTGGAACATATGGGTAGTGGGAACATATGAGGGGAATGGCAAGAAGGTGATAGTCGAATGGAAATTGGACTGTCTAACCCTTGCTTGGGAAACTTCATCTCATTACAGAGAGCTTACTCTGCTAGTCATGAGGATAAC